TTGAAGAAGGGGAGACAGACACAATTTGATAAGGAACATTAGAGAAACACACAAATGACTATAATACAAGTTGAACAAGCACAGTAAGGAAAAGCACAATGCATGCTCCGAGGGTTTAGTGCAGAAGAGACAGCATCTGCTCTGGGGCATTGGTGGAGGACGGGGGAGATTGTGTTAGGGTCTCCTCTTCTCTGTCCCCAGTGCCGGCTATTTTGGTTGCGACCCCATCACCCTTATCTAGACTCTGATTGCTGTTTCCCAGGTAATCTTTCTAGAGGCAATCTGATTGTGTCACTCGCAGCTTTAAACCCTTCTTTGTTCCCATCCTCTGCAAGAAAGAGTCAAAGTTTCTCAGGATCCTGCAGCAAGATCTAGATGTCTGCCACCCGCCTCAACATCCCTTATCTCCCTGCCACCCACACAGTGCCATCTACATGTCATGCTTCTTGAGCCCGTCAACCTCAATGACCTTGACTGTGCAGCTCCTTCTACCTGGACTTCCCCCCCTTCTCCCCTTTTCTCTTTTCCCTTCATGGGGCCCCCATCTGTCTGGAGAACTCCTGTGACACTTTCCTTGCTGTCCCTTGCCCCCAAGACAGGGCTGAGGACGCCCATCCTGCCTCTCTATAGTGCATAGCCCCTCATCTCATTGTCCCACCGCCTTGTGACGTTGCGGGGGAGAGGCACGCTTGCCTCCCTCGTAAGAGCGTGTTTCCCCTGTGGTCAGGACCCAGACGGAGCGTGGCACACAGTAAGCGCTCAATGCAGGTTGGCCTAATTGTGTTGCATTTGTTGCATGGGTGGGTAGGATGCAGTGTTTTCCATGGGATTGAGGGATAAATAAATGGTGAGAAGTGAATGTGGAATATTCTTCCACAGAATTCAGGATAAGAAAAGGCAATAGGGAGTTAGGAAGTTAAGGGAAAGTTGTTTTTGTTTGGTTTAATGGAGACCAAGTCTCGTGCATAAGCAGAAGGAAAAGAACTTACAGAGAGTGGAAGGAAATGTAAATGAGGGACGGGGCCATGGATGGATCAGGCGCTTGAGGACACAGGTAAGAGAGGGACCCAGGACTCCATGGAAGAGCTAGTCTTGGCACGCAAGGGGGACGCTGTCTCTCCAGAGAGACAGGACAGAAGCAAACGAGGAGGACGGCTGCGCAGAGGCATTCTGAGAAGGAGAGGGGAGAGGTTGAGCAGCTCTTTCTGCATGGCCCAGGCTCAGCTTGCACAGGTAACAGCCAGGTGAGGCACCCAGCACCATGACGTGTTTCACACGTAACCCACAAGATGTTGAGAGAAAATGGAAATTCTTAAAAAGTACTTTAACAAGCAATGGCCTCTTAGATGACACGCTGTTCACAAAGCGGATTCCAATGGAGGGAATTCTTAACCCACCCCGGGCGGTTCTGGCAGGGCTCCCTCTGACACTCCTCTTTCCCTTCCATAGGGAGCAGCCTTTTGAGCCTGCCTGAGCAGAAGCTTGGGACAGAGCCCAGCGCTGCCATTCTTACTCTGCCGAGCTCCTTCAACCTGTTTTCGTCAGGTGGCCAAAACAGCCATCCGCGTTCAACATGCGCTTTCTGATCCAAGCCACACTTTAAACGGATTACAAATAATTTCCTCCCAAAACCCCTGGAGGGTCACTGGAGTCTGGGGTGAGTCTTGGACTCTAGGGCCAGAGCGGGAGGAGTGGGTTTGCCCACAGCCGTGCCCAGCCCAGGGCCCCTCCCTCCCCAGCGGCTGCGTGGTGTCCGGAGCCTGCCCGCCCAGCGCAAATGCGAGGTTTCTGCACAAGTTTGGCTTCTCCTAAAAGGCTGTAAGAGCAGCTACCTTCGTTGAGCATTCCAGAAGGAAGCTTAAATCCAGGGACACTCCTTCAACAACCACCCACATCCAGAAGGGCAGACCACGTTTTAGGAGTTTCAAGGTTTAATTCTGGTTTGGTTGGGGGAAAACAGGAAGAAAAGACAACTCATTTTTTTTTAATTTGTTTGTAAGAATACATTTACTTCAACATTGAACCACCTATTTATGTTAATGTTTGGTTGTTTTGTTTTGTTTTTTTCCCCTTCCCTGTTCTGTTTTTACCTTTTCTATTAATAAAAACTTACAGAAGGGTATTAAATTGGAAGGCTATATTTATTTGCCTTGAGAAGTGTATTTTTCTTCCCTAGGAATCAATCCACTTGTAAGAGTTACAGAGGAAACTTAAACATTCATGAAATGACACATTTATATTTCTGACTTTATATTGTTCTTGACCAAAGTCGGGTATTAAAAACATTAATAATGAATTAAATGACTGAATCATAGTTGCTCAATAAAAGCTGTTGCTTGGAACTGAAAGTTATCAGAGGATGTGGGGGCTCAGAGAGAAGTTTTTCCATAGGTGATCATCGCTGAAAGATGGAGCTCTGTCCCGGGCCCTTCCCCCGCTTGCCTTTCTTGGAAATGAATGGTCACGGAAACATATCTACACACAGAATCATAGACCTTCATAGATGTACGGGACTGTATAAACACACACGAGCCCAGCTGTAGGCCGCAAAAAACTGTGGGGGAAGGTAGCTCCGTACTTGGAAACCTGTCTGCAGTTCAGAGCAGCCGCCAAGCTGGGAGCTCAGCTCCCCAAATATCACATTTATCTCAATTTGGCAAGAGGCTGAAAACCTATCTGGGACCATTTAAATTCTAATGTTATTAAGAGCTCATCTAATCAGCTTTTAAAATAAGCTGCTTGCAAATGCATGGGGAACGAAGGTGAGAGAGAAGCGAGGAGTCAGCCGGCCGGCGAACGTACCTCGGCTTGCCTTGCCAAAGCGCCGTGAGGGGGCCTGGCTGCCTCCTGTCTGGTAACTTCTGCCACCCTCACCAAGCCATGCCAGTGAAAGGGGATTTGTACGTGCATGGGGGAGAGGGCCAATCTGGACAGCCGCCTTCTCCTGTGAGGTCTATCGGACACTCGTGACAAGGCTTGGCAGGGAAAGATGCATCGGCCTCTGTGCCAGGAGGTGGCTTTGAGATTTAATCAGCAGAGCAACTGGTGCTTCTACACACTACCTCTGAATACTCCGTCCGCAGACTTCTGAGAACTTCCGCTGCCCGGACTCTCTACCCCTGCCCGGACCCACTGACAGTGGGTAGCTGCCTTCATGGGAGGCCCCTCGCGTCTGCCTTTGGTTTGACTGTCCCCAGGCCCAGCCTCCCGCCAGCCCTAGACTGAGGGGAGCTGGCCCTGCCGTGCGCATGGCTCCCGTGTGAGCCGGGCTCACCCCCAGGCCCTGCTTCAAACACCAGGCTCAGCTTGCTGGTCATGAACGTTCTCGGGTTCAGCCTGAGGATTGATTCCCAGACGTAGGACTCGGGGAGGGTCCTAGTCGCTGGGGTGAGGCTGGCTCCAGAGGCGATGGTGACATTTCTCCTCCGCAGTCTTCTTCTCCCCCTGCCTGCCCCCTGCACACCACTCTCAGGTCCTCCCAGGAGTCTCATCCAGGCTGGCAATGTCCTGGGCTCTCTCTTGCATCCTTGCATCCCCTCCACCAAAAGCCTCAGACACCAGGGCTGCATGAAAATATGCGGGTGCCCTGGTCACGCTAATAGGTTGCCTCACATTTCAACCAATATTCCTTAAATATTTATTCCACGTCTATTTAGAGGAGGGTGAAAGCTCCCAGTTCTCCTACTCCCACTGCACCCTAACTCAGAAGTCAGCTTAGGGACCACGTGTTTTCATTTGAGCAAGTTCTTTGGGTGGGGAGTTTAATGCCCCATTGCAACTGGCCTGTCAAATATTCTTTTATCTCCGCAAGCACCACGCAGAGTACTGCCGAGCAAAAACGTTTCCGTCTTAATACGCTGCCAGTGATGCTTTTGTGACAGGGACTCCAGCTGCTGGTCCGCCCTGTCCCAGCTCTGCTGGGTCGCAGAGACCTTGATCTGCAGCAGCTGGTGGCCCAGAAGCGATAAATTAACCAATTCACCCTTGAGAGTGGATAGCTGATAGCCAGCTTCACGCGAGGACGTCTCTCCCGACTTTTTAAATGGCAGGGGTCCTGGGCGGTCCAGTGTCCGGAAGTGAGGCAGGATGCTGCTGGGGGTATTCTGGGCCAGTTCAAACGTGGGGCTTCCGAAAAGCCTCAGCTTATGTCTACAGAGCACCACGATGGATACTGAGTACACGCCGGGACTGAGGAGGGGATGAGTTTCTCCTGAACAAACTTTAGCGATTGTGTAAACAAACAGAGAGGGAAGGCTGGTGGATACATTATCACTGTTTGGTACAATAAAAAAAGGCCACACCTGTTTGAAAAGTTCCCAATTCAGTATATCAAGTTTGAGTGCCCTGGAAAGTTATTAAGGGAGCCAACTATTCACCGTGCCTGCCAGCCCTGTGAATCCTAACAGCCTTCTCCCATGGACCATTTGTTAGAGGTTATTATTTCAACCTGAAAATTCTTCAGACATATATATGTGGTATGAAAAAGGAATTAGGAAAGCCTTTAAATTAAAAGAAATAAAACGACAGGTTTTTCCTCCAGCCATATAGTTATGGATAGAGATAAAGAGATGGATATTTTTTCATAATACTTTATTAGGGCTTTTGGAGCTCCAGAAATTTTAGAGTTAGACTGGTGAATAATTCAGCACTGATTCACGCGGGCCCAGCGCAGGCGCGGGTGGGCTGGGAATCAAGTCTGGCTTCTTGGAGGGACTGAGCACAGTAACACGCTTTTATTATCAACCGCGCCGTGAAATGCATTTCAGAAATATTTTATGAGGAGCCAGAACCGCGGTTCCTGGTTTCTGCAGCTTTTTCAGAGGCTGCCTGAAGCCCAGGGGAGCTGAAGCTGTTGACCAGCTCATTTCAGGGAGACTGTCCCCAGGCCGTTGTTCCAGTGACGAAGGGCCTAAGATCCCTGGGAATATGCGGTTACTAGTGAAAAGCCACAAACTGCCCATTGGAATGACGGATGATAAAAGGCGCACAGGGAACGGTACCTCTCGTGATGGTATCTTTGATGTTCTCTCCTTGCCGCACGCTCTGTAATCCTAACTCCAAAAGAGACCTGGCCTTTCTGCGGCTGGAACGACGCGGCCACCTGAAACAGGAACAAGGGAGGGAGAAACACGTTAATGCTTTCAAAATCAGGAGCCTCAGTTTCCCACTCCAAACGCCATATCGCCTTTAAAATCAATGTGTAGGCACAGCATGTATATTTCTAAAGCCAAGAAAATTGTTACCTAAGTATTTTTTTCCCTCTAGAAAGTTTTATTTCATTAATTTTCTTTCATTCTCATAGCTTTGCAATAAAATGGTAAATATTTGAGGTAAAAACTCTACAGAACAATTATAAATCCAGAAATGGGTTTTATGTGACAAAACTAAGATCTTCGAAAGTGGCTGTAGTAACATACTTAGATGATCTGTTTATGACAAATGCTTGACACCTCCTACAGGAAGCCTCCCATCCGAACCCCTCCCCTCCAAACCGAGACCCTCTTGTGCCCTTAACGTCCTTGGCACTCTGAGCACTCCTATGTCATGAAGGTCACCGTTTACCATAAACCTCTTTGTTGTGCTGTTTTCTTTCCATACTCTCCATTCCTCAAGGCCAGAGTCTGTTCCACTCACTGCTCTAGCTCTACGAGCATGATGCCAGCACAGAGAAGTTCAACAAATAATGAAGGAATACATGCCAAACAGAGTAATTCTCTCAGGTTAGAACCGTCACCAACAGAAGCAGTGACATCCATTCCAAGCGAGAAGCTTGTGAGTAGGCAAATCTGTCAGCCTCTTTAATCAGGGGTCCTATGCAGAACTTGGACCGAGCCTTCCCTACACAATTCCCAAGGGTCTGTCAACCCAGTTGCAGCTGGATAATTACGCCTTCAAGGGCTTGCTTCTCACGAAGCCTGCTAAGCCTCCTCCAAGCGGGGCACGGAGCTTCGGGGATCTCATCCATAGGTGCCTCAAGAGGGTGTATCTGCAAAGATGTGGTGGCATCTGAGAGAGGAAGAAGTAAGCATTTGGCTAACGTATATGTTTGCCCGAATAAATTACCTTCCCTGGAGGACCTCATGAAACCTCAGAATTGGAGGAAGTGTAAAGATCATTTAGTTCTGGAAGGGCAAATAGATTCCATCTCTGGTGGATACTCCAGTATATCAGCAGCAGCTGCCTGCAGAGTGGGGTCATGACGGATTCTGAGGCTGCCTTGTTGGGAAGGCAGTGGCCATCAAGTGGCACAGGACATGGAGGTGGCCAACGCAGAGGTGTGGCAGGTGACATAAATGACAAGTGTTCTCCTCTTCCAGTTCTAAGCTGGCTGTTCATCAAATGGGACAATCACAGGTCCTCAGGACAGTGTAAATGGGATGGCAGCTGCCCACACTTTGCAGCCTACTTTGGGGGCAGACAGCTCTGACACTAGAAAATCTTTCTGTCCATGAAATAAAACCCCTTCTCCTATTTGCTTCCATCCACTGACCATTCTTTTCTTCATCCTATCTGTAAGGTGCTGACCACACTCGCAGAAGGCTGGTCCAATCTCTTTCGAACCAACTAAGTCAAAAGTTACCAAAAGTGTTGGCAAAATCTCCTTCACTTGAGTTCGTTAAATACTGAATATCTTTAACTTGCTCTTTTATTGTATCTGTTTCTCTAGCTAGATATAGGCACAATCATGCTCTCATTGAACTAATATGTTTATTATATTTTGAAGTTTTTCATTTGATATTTTTGAAATCATAAAAGTAATGCATGCTGATTGTAATAAGAGAATCAGTATGAAAATGTATACAGAAAAAGCTAATCGTTTCCCCCAATCTCAGTCCCTTGGGTAACATTTTAATAGACTGGCGTGTATCCTTTCACAGGGTCCTAATATCCCAGGAAACAGCTTGAGAACTGGGTATGCAGAAGATTTCCAGGGACACGCTCTTGAGGGCCACAGCACCTGTGGGGAGCGCAGGGAGCAGAGTTGGCCAGGGGAGCTCCGGAGCCGGCCCGCATTGAGAAGGGATACAGGTCTTTGGATGCAGGCTGCCCCAGGAAGAGGGTGGGCACGGGAGCTCTTTTTGGCTGAGGGCAGTGGTGAAAAGGGTCTCAGCCGTGAGCTGTCAGCAGCCCACACTCCTGGCAGCTTGAGTGCGTCTGTGGGGTGGAGTCTCCAGCACCCAAATATACACCCTCCCTTTTGCTCATTTAAACCTAATTGTGTGTACATGTAAAAAAATATACCAGATATATGGGATGTTTTTGTTTATAGTTTTTAACTGAAATACTTGGCAACTTGCTTTGACTTAACAAACATCATCATTTTCCCTTAATTCATTTATGCATAGTGCACACACATTTACAGGAAAATCGTATTATACATCTAGGCTTTGATAGTGCACACTGCTCGTTTGTTTCTCCATTGCTTGTCCCTCTCCACCTCCTCCCCTTCCCTGCATCATCCACTTCAGCCCTCGACAGCATGGAGCATATCCTTTTATATTTCCTTTCGCACTCACCTAAACACACATACACATATGTAAACATGGATTCGAACACTTGTTTACTCTTTCAGTCATTGGCAGCAACAATTTGCTAAGAGCCTTGTGAGCACCAGACCCATTGAGGCACTGAGGATGTGAAGAGGACACAGCCCCTGCCCTGTAGGGGCTTCTGTCCACGAGGGACAGGGCCCCAGGGGCTGGTGCCCGGGAAGTTCACTTTTGCAGGCAAGCCCCAAGCACATGGAGAGTATTTACCGGATTAGAACATGGGACTTCTGTATTCTAGTCCTGTGCTCTTTTCCATTTAAACAATTTTTATTTTTTTAAAACAGGTTTCAAACTGTGGGCTGAGCAATGGCCAAGCAGGATTGGAGGGAGCATGTGCCGATCTTCCCGAAGTCATGGCCGCACTCGCTCTGACAGGACGAAGTTCATCACGGACCCGATACATGGCCCTTGTGATACGACACACATTGCCTCACTAACAGATTCACTCAGTTTGATTAACAAGGCAGACAGCCCTAATGATATCACACAAAGGCCTTATCTTAAGGTAGGTTTTCCTGTAACTGGTGACAAGACAAAGGATTATTATGACAGCAATTGAAGCTGGTGTGTCACAATGTAGGCAAGCATTCCTGCGGCAGCAAGTTCTGGAAGCAAAACCGTTAGCTGAGATGAATATCAGGCACGGGGCTCGTGCTCCCAGATCCTCCTGGCTTACACACTTCCAGAGAGAGGGGAGTGGGGAGGGAGCCAGGGGGCGGCACCACGAGACACACGCAAGAGTGGGGAGCAGGCTGACCTGCCTCCCCAGCAACGTCGCAAATGGATGTGTTCTTTCTGTCCGCTTTCCTAGCCTACTTATTGCCTTGCTTGTCCCCGCTCCAGCACCCAGCATTATCTGGGGCCAACTTGTAATAGCTCATCTTTGAAAAAAATTCCTATAAAATATGTCGAGAAAAGGTGCATTATATTTTCCTTCCTCATCAAATGCTGCTCCCTTTGCACTGAAGGTGCGTTCAGCAACCCAGGGGCCTTGTTTGTATTTTGCAGGGTGGTCTCCCTGTCCTGACTGCCCAGGCGGGAGCGGAGGATCTGGGCAGCCCAGGAGACCTTGTTGACCTTGGTCACAGATTTTGTCGGACACTCTGTGTTTTCCCCCCTTTGACTTAGGTGAATCATGGGCAGAAGGCAGGCACCGGCCAGGCCAGGTGAGACGTGGCAATCGAAAGCTGCAGAGGTTTCAGCCTTCACCGTACCAGCGCACTTTGGTATTCACTGTAAACTTCAGTACTTGAAAGGTTTAGGCTGGTGCACTGCCAATTGCTGGAGATGTTCCGGTAATAGCTATTTGATCCCAAGGATGCTGATCAGCTCTAGGCAAAATTACCCAATACCCCAAAGTACGATCAATTCATTTTTCCCTCAATTCTCACAGCAGTTGGATGCTAAAGAATAGATCAGATTTCAAATGGCCAAAAAATTGTACTTGGTCATCTTAGCGTGAAAATGGGAAATTTAGGCAGCTATTGGTGATCCGACCCATATTCTGCTCACAAAGACTCCTATCAGGAGGGAACTTGAATGACTGTTGTTTTGGACTCCTACTTTCAGGCATACAAATTGGGATGGCTCTTAGAAAGATTTCTCTGGCCCACTGGTATTGGAAAGATTTTGCAATTCAGCAGAGTGTAAAAAGTTCATGAATTCTCAATTTATTTATTGATGCATAACATATTACCCTAAAACTCAGCGATTCAAAACAATAAACATTATCTCATAGTATCTGTGGGTCAGGAATTCAGAAATGATTTATCTAGGTGGTTCTGGTTCAGGATCTCTCGGGTGGTTTCAATCAAGGTGTTGAAGGCTGCAGTCATCTGAAGACCCACTAAGAATAAAGGATCTGCTTCCAAGATGGCTCGTTCAAGTGATGCTGGTCATTGCAGGATACTTCAACTTCTCCCCACACGGGCCTCTCCAGGGCTGCTTGAGTGTCCTCACAACATGGTGGCTGGCATCCCTCAGGGTGAACAATGCAGGAGAGAGCAAGGTGGAAGCCACGATGTCTTTTATGATTAACCACACTATCATCTCTGCAACATTCTATTGTTACACAGGTTAGTCGTATTTAATGTGGGAGGAAGCCACACAAAGTTATGAATGCTAGAAAGCAAGGATCGATTGGGGGTCAACTTGAAGGCTAGCTGTCACCATGCTTTTTTGCTTTATTAGTAATGGTAAACACAAGGAAGAAGACATTTCCATTTCTTGTATCTCTCTGCAACAACAAATGGAAAGCATGAAATTTGTCTCAAATCCTAACCTAGGCACACAATTTTGGAAAAGGCATTTACTTAATCCCTCTAAGCACGCATTTTCGAATCTCTAAAATAGAGAGAATAGCATTTCTTTACGATTGCTATGAGGATTACTTAGTTAATATATGTAAAAGGCTTAGCTCAGAGTGCAGCAGCAGGAGGAACTCAAACCTTGTTAGTTCCTTTCCCTTCTCCCTCATTCTTTCCTCTCTGCTTCATCGTGTAACAACTGAGAATGCAGCTAAACATTGGAGTTGGCCTTCCTCCCGCCTCAC